TCCATGTGCACTGGCGAAGAACGTATATTCTGCTGCTCTAGGATGAATGTTCTGAATATGTTTGAAGTCCATCTGGTCCAGTGTGTCATTCAAAGCCATTGTTTCCTTGTTGATTTTTTTATCAGATGATCTGTCCATTGCTGTGAGTGGTGTGTTTAAGTCTCCTACTATTATGGTATAAATGTCAATGAGTTTTTTTCATTTTTGTGATTAGTTGACTTAAATATTTGGGTGCTGTTACATTTGGCACATAAATATTTACAATTGTTAGGTCTTCTTGGCCTATAGACCCCTTGATTATGATATAATGCCCTCCTGCATCTCTTGATACAGTCTTTATTTTAAAGTCTAGATTGTCTGATAGATGTATGGCTACTCCGGCTTTCTTTTGTTGACCGTTAGCATGACAGATGGTTCTCCACCCCCTTATATTCAATATGAAGGTGACTTTAGGTCTCAAGTGGGTCTCTTGTAAACAACATATAGATGGATACTGTTTTTCTTATCCATTCTCCTACCCTGTGTGTTTTGATTGGAGCATTGAGCCCATTGGAGCAGAGTTCAGAGTGAATCTGAAAGATGTGAATTTATTGCCATTATGATCCTTGTAGAGTTGGAGTTTCTGGTGGTGTTCTCTGGCCCTTTCTAATCTTTGGTTGCTTTTGGTATTTCTTTATTGATATATATTTGTTTATTTATATATATATACACATACATATATACACATACACATGTGTATATGTACATATAGATATATATCTTTGGGGTTTTTTTTCCCATCTTTTCTCCCCTCAGAGAGTCTCCCTTAAAATTTCTTGCAGGGCTGGTTTAGTGGTCACAAAGTGCTTTAATTTATGTTGGTCTGGGAAACTTTTTCTCTCTGCTTCCATTTTGAATGACAGCCTTGCTGGATGAAGAATTTTTGGGTGCATATTTTTCTGATTCAGCACACTGAATGTATCCTGCCACTCCTTTCTGGCCTGCCATGTTTCTGTGGACAGGTCTGCTGCAAACCTGATGTGTCTCCCCTTGTAGATTAGGGACTTTTTTCCCTTGCTGCTTTCATGAGTCTCTCCTTGCCTGAGTGCTTTGTGAATTTGACTATGATACGCCTCGTTGAGGGTCAGTTTTTGTTGAATCTAATGGGGGTCCTCTGTGCTACCTGGATTTTGATGTCTGTGTCTTTCCCCAAGTTAGGAAAGTTTTCCCGTCTGATTTGCTCACAAAACCCTTCTACTCCTATTTCTCTCTCTTCCTCTTCTGGGACCCCATGAGTCTGATGTTCCTTTTTAATAAGTCACTGATTTCTCTAATTCTTAAATTGTGCTGTTTTGCCTTAATCTTCCTCTTTTTTTCTGCTTTGTTATTCTGTATAAGTTTGTCCTGTATATCGCTGATTCTCTGTTCTGCCTCGTCCATCCTTGCCACCGCTGCATCCATCCGTGATTGCAGCTCAGTTATAGCATTTTTAATTTCATTCTGGCTATTTTTTACTTCTTTTATCTCTGCAGAAAGGGATTCTAATCTATATTCAACTCCAGCCTGTATTTTTATTATCATGATTCTAAATTCTGGCTAAGACATCTTGCTTGTATCTGTGTTGGTTAAATCCCTGGCTGTCATCTGTTCGTGCACTTTCTTTTGGGGTGAATTCCTTTTGCGACTTCTTGCTTACCAAGTTCACTTCTCCACACTGTGTACCTGCTGAATTCTGTGGTTCAGGTTGTGTAGATTGTTGTGTTAATCCTCCAATCAGTTTTCTAGGTGTGTAGGGTGGTTTCGTGTTGGTCTGGCTGTATTTCATTGACGCAAGACACACAAAAAGCTTCCATGGTGTTCCACCATCTTGGCTCCCCCCACCCCCAAATTTAGATTTAATAAAAGTGGATTTCCCCCTACTTATTTCAGTTTAACATTTTGACCAGACTGATAGTTGTTTGGGTAAATGTCTTTTGATGATTGTTTCCTGGGAAGAATTGAAAGTAAGCTTTTTCAAATTTTTTTTTTATTAAAAAAATTTTTTTAGTGTTTTATTTATTGTCGAGAGAGACAGAGAGTGCAAACCGGTGAGGGAGCAGAGGGAGAGGGAAACAGAGAATCCAAAACAGGCTCCAGGCTCTGAGCTGTCAGCACAGAGCCTGACACGGAGCCTGAGCTCACAGACTGTGAGATCATGAGCAGAGCAGAAGTTGGATGCTTAACTGACTAAGTCATGCAGGAGTCCCAAAAGTAAACTTTTAAAATAAAGATTACATTTATCCCTTGACCTCCAGGAAATGGAAGGTTGACTCAGAAAGGAAGCTGCTATATGGGCCATCCCTCTTCATACTCATCTAGGATGATGCCCTACCAAACCAATGAGGAGAACAGTTGGAAAAATAATGAGGCAGCATCTACTGTGTGAAGTACCATACTTGTATTTTGGGTAGTAAGGTCTGCAAAGTCAAAGAACACTTAATTTTGTAGCAGGTCAGTTTGTTTCTCCCTGATTAATCTACTAAGGAAATATGCTTTTAAATCAGAGATGTTTGGTCATAGATGAAGAGAAGGGATTGTTAGTGAGAAGCAACAATTGGGGCATCTTTACAGGAACCCACATAGTAGCAACAATTTTAAAGCACTCAGTGTAGAAGTTTATTCTATACCAGTAACATAAGTTATTTTGTTTTTTTTTGTTTGTTTGTTTTTGTTTTTTTTTTTATTTATATATGAAATTTATTGTCAAATTGGTTTCCATACAACACCCAGTGCTCATCCCAAAAGGTGCCCTCCTCAATACCCATCACCCACCCTCTCCTCCCTCCCACCCCCCATCAACCCTCAGTTTGCTCTCAGTTCTCAACAGTCTCTTATGCTTTGGCTCTCTCCCACTCTAACCTCTTTTTTTTTTTTTTTCCTTCCCCTCCTCCATGGGTTCCTGTTGAGTTTCTCAGGATCCACATAAGAGTGAAACCATATGGTATCTGTCTTTCTCTGTATGGCTTATTTCACTTAGCATCACACTCTCCAGTTCCATCCACGTTGCTACAAAAGGCCATATTTCATTTTTTCTCATTGCCACGTAGTATTCCATAGTGTATATAAACCACAATTTCTTTATCCATTCATCAGTTGATGGACATTTAGGCTCTTTCCATAATTTGGCTATTGTTGAGAGTGCTGCTATGAACATTGGGGTACAAGTGCCCCTATGCATCAGTACTCCTGTGTCCCTTGGATAAATTCCTAGCAGTGCTATTGCTGGGTCATAGGGTAGGTCTATTTTTAATTTTCTGAGGAACCTCCACACTGCTTTCCAGAGCGGCTGCACCAATTTGCATTCCCACCAACAGTGCAAGAGGGTTCCCGTTTCTCCACTTCCTCTCCAGCATCTATAGTCTCCTGATTTGTTCATTTTGGCCACTCTGACTGGCGTGAGGTGATACCTGAGTGTGGTTTTTATTTGTATTTCCCTGATAAGGAGCGACGCTGAACATCTTTTCATGTGCCTGTTGGCCATCCGGATGTCTTCTTTAGAGAAGTGTCTATTCATGTTTTCTGCCCATTTCTTCACTGGGTTATTTGCTTTTCGGGTGTGGAGTTTGGTGAGCTCTTTATAGATTTTGGAGACTAGCCCTTTGTCCGATATGTCATTTGCAAAGATCTTTTCCCATTCCGTTGGTTGCCTTTTCGTTTTGTTGGTTGTTTCCTTTGCTGTGCAGAAGCTTTTGATCTTCATAAGGTCCCAGTAATTCACTTTTGCTTTTAATTCCCTTGCCTTTGGGGATGTGTCGAGTAAGAGATTGCTACGGCTGAGGTCAGAGAGGTCTTTTCCTGCTTTCTCCTCTAGGGTTTTGATGGTTTCCTGTCTCACATTCAGGTCCTTTATCCATTTTGAGTTTATTTTTGTGAATGGTGTGAGAAAGTGGTCTAGTTTCAACCTTCTGCATGTTGCTGTCCAGTTCTCCCAGCACCATTTGTTAAAGAGACTGTCTTTTTTCCATTGGATGTTCTTTCCTGCTTTGTCAAAGATGAGTTGGCCATACGTTTGTGGGTCTAGTTCTGGGGTTTCTATTCTATTCCATTGGTCTATGTGTCTGTTTTTGTGCCATAACATAAGTTATTTTGGATAATAAGGAAGAAAATATGCAGCAGGCACAAGAAGAGGAAGAACATCGTAGAGAAGCAACTGCACGTTTCCAGTTTACTTTAAGTGAAATTCAAGCACAGCTGGAACAGCATGACATACACAATGCCAAACTCCGCCAAGAAAACACTGAACTAGGAGAGAAGCTGAAGAAGCTCATTGAACAGTATGCTCTGAGAGAGGAGGTAAAAGTGTTTTGTTCAGTGACACAGCATCTTGTTACTATGAAAACCTTTTCACCATTATTACTGAAGATTATTGTCACAGGACAATATTTTAGAGCTTTTATGTATGCATAGTAGCAAACAGTCAGGAATTTACTAGGAAAATGTTAGACAACAGTGTAAACTAAAAGACTGATTGGGATCATCACTGATGACCCAGGGATCTGTGGATTTGGATATGTGAGGTGTATCGAGTGGTACTTGTTTTCCATGTGATACTGGAAGATAGCAATTTTAGTATACAGACTGTTTTTTTCCATATCCAGTCAAAGAGTAAATAAATATTTGGTGCCCAAATATCTAATATCTCTGACTCTCATGATAATCTATCATAAATCTATGATAATACAGTCTGTAGTACCATTGCATTTTACATACTATAACTTTTGGCGGGGAGAGAAATTTCTTTTAACTAAACACCCAGCCTTCTTCTTGGTTGCCACAGACACAGTAAAGTTAAGGTGAGTGTACAGTGAATCATTTATGCCTGCAGAACCCCATCACTGCAGTTATTTTACAAGGTAGTCTGGAAGTTATGTGGTGTCTACTTTAAAAGGAAATTGGTGATAGCATGCTCATTAGTTTTCCTTACTTTCTGAGCTCAAGTGTACAGGCTAAGAGCTTTGGGTTTTCCAAAGGGCACATTCCTCTGCCTTTGTTATATTTTAAGGGTAGTAAAATGTTCAATTATCTGTGTTGAACTCCTTACATAAGTATATTTAAACTGCTAATTAGAAAAGATTGGTGACAATTAAAAATGGTTAAAATGATAAATTTTTAAGTGGTATATTTTACTACCAGAAAAAGCCCCCAAACGAAGCCAACAACAATGGCTATGTAATTTATCCAGTTTCAATTCAAAGTTTAGGTTGTTTTAACTTAGTTTTACTTATATCCTTTGAAAACAGTTTAAAGATTTTGAGCATTTTTCTAACCGTTCTCCTTATCTTTTAACAGCAAATCTGTGTTTCAAGCAAATCCAAGATGTCATATTATTTCAGCCAGCATTATTTGAATGCATATCTTGAAAAGACAAGACTCTTGAAGCAGAATCACAGTACCATTTTCACACCAAAATATTAATCAGTAATTACTTTCCCAACCACTTCATCATTGCTCACATTTTTCTATTCCCCAACCCCCTTTTGAAAATTCTTTGAATCAGATCAAAAAGGTTTATACATTTCATTGGATGTTACGTCTCAAGTCTTTTTTTCACATATAGGTTTGTCTCTGTATTTCCTCCTTGCAGGGCATTTATTGAAGTAAATTTTGTGAGGCATATAGAGTGGATTTACTTTTCACTAAATTTGTTTCATAAAGCCCTCATTTTCTTATTTTGTGTTCATTTTGTTGTTGCAACAAATGACACCTGACTTCATTATTAAAGTGACAAATTTTCAAAGTGTATGTTCAAGTTACATTACCTGTGAGCCTTGTTCGTGTTAGGTATTACAGAAGTGTTTCCTTAGGGGGGGAGGGTGGTGGCGTTGAGCATATAATTTAATGATGTAATTTGCAGTCAAAGACAAAAATGTAACCACTCCTCAAAACTTAATTAGATTATATATTATTAACTACCATTTCTTCATATCACATGGAATGTGGAAACTAAAAAGTTTTAATGTTTTTCCATCAGAGAAGGATGTTCTGATGACTTTATTTTACAGAAATACTACTTAACAATTTAGTTTGGATTTGACAGTAACCTCTTTTCTTACCAAGGGTCTAGTATGTTCTAGACACCAAGCATGTTAAATATATTAGCCACTTCATTGATTTTTACAAACACTTTAGGAGGTACATGTGTGGTTGTCCATGTTTAAGGATAAGGAAACTGAGATTCGTCAAAGGGCAGAATTTGTCCAGGGCCATCCACTAAGCCTAGATTTGACCCCCGGCCATTCATACCATTATATTATACTACTGTCTATACTGAGAAATTTGGGAAAATTTAATAACAAGAAAATAATACCCAGGAATTGTGTGTGTGATGAATGGTTTCAAGTTTGATCTCTTTACCCATCTTTTTTTTTTCTTAATAGTTTTAGCCTAATTTTCAATGTAGAGCAGAAACAGGCAACACAAAGCTGTTGATTGGGTTGGATGGATTCAGGTTAGGGGCCAGAGGGAATCATGTCTGCAAGTGCACAGTGGTTTGCAAGGTGATGTGAGTAGATGCTTTTGTGTGTATGAGCACAGAAAGCTCCAATGTAATTAGTTATGGTGGTATGAGGAGGAATAACAGGGAAGTAAGTTATTGTAACTTGTGTTGTATCTCCTAACCTATGTATACCCTTTTTCACTAAGTGATAGAAGAAATTTTATATTTTCTATAGCATATTAATAAAGTGTTCAAACATAAGGAACTGCAGCAACAGCTTGTGGATGCCAAGCTTCAGCAAACAACAGAGCTCATAGAGGAAGCTGATGAAAAACACCAAAGAGAAAGAGAATTTGTAAGTTCTGTGTCCTAAAAACATTATTGCCATAATTGTAGACAAAATGATTTAAAACACAGCATTCAATATTTACATAGAATTGGGGATGAAATTTGTTTTTTTAATATCAAGATGTTAGAATGCATTCAACTTTCCTGGTAAAACTTTCTTATAAAACATAGGCTTGGAATATTAGACCAAATGAGTGGAAAGACATGAACATGGTGATTTTATCCTGTGCACAATATTATCTTGATTTTTAGGTAATGATCACCAGATTCAGGAATGTGGCAGATACTGGCAAATTAGGCCTCCACGGCTACAGGCAATTAAATTTCATACCAAGTTTACCGAACCTGGGTCTCCTAGAGTCTGGTACATTTTCTCTTAAATAAGTAACTTGAAAATAGGCACACTGTATTTCACTCATCTGGTATAATTTCCCAGTAAACTTTGCAGAATTTTCTATTTCCTTAATCGTGCAGCATGGGTAAGTACTCATGTTATTTTTCCTGTCAGTAATTGGTGAACATAGTGGAATCTTATGATTAAGACATGCAAATCAAACTCTATATGCTTAAGTTAAATAAGCATATATTTATGGACTATTCCATTCAGCATTTTACATTTTATTTTAGTGATCTAGACGCTGAGGTAATCATGGTATGGAACACTCAGGAACTGAATGGTGAGGAAATGAACAATGCATACTAAGTGTGAGTCTAGGATTTAGAGAGATGGATTTTGCAAAGTATAGACATCTTTAGTGCAACCCAACAGTGACATTTGATGTATAATTGAAGGAACTGTTTCATTTCCAACATGGAGTAAAAAGCGTGTGCATATGTATGTGCATACATAGATACGTATACATAAACATGCACATACATATATGTATTACATGTATATACTTTCTTGTTGGTTTGAAAACCTTTAAGACTTATTTGCCCCATGTATGACATTTTTATGTCAGAAATTCAAAAACAATTTCACAACTGCCTACTGTACAACTTCACTATATAATTTTCTTGAAAGCGCAGGTGTGAAAACCAGACCCTCCTCTTCCTCATTTGGAAAAAAGTAATCAGGGGCGCCTGGGTGGCGCAGTTGGTTAAGCGTCCGACTTCAGCCAGGTCACGATCTCGCGGTCCGTGAGTTCGAGCCCCGCGTCAGGCTCTGGGCTGATGGCTCAGAGCCTGGAGCCTGTTTCCGATTCTGTGTCTCCCTCTCTCTCTGCCTCTCCCCCATTCATGCTCTGTCTCCCTCTGTCCCAAAAATAAATAAATGTTTAAAAAAAAATTTTTAAAAAAAAAGAAAAAAAGTAATCAGAAGCCTAATCTGTTTCACTGCTCTGCTCTCTCTATATGCTTTCTAAACTGGCTCATCTTGCGTCTCATGGCGTAGCAACATTACCACCTTGATAATATCAAGATTTCCATCCCTGTTTTGTGTGTCTGAGGGTACATGCCTGATTTCTCCTACTATTTGACTGTGAGTTTTATAAACCTTAGTATGCCTCCAGGGTACTTTTTTTCCTTAAGCAGTTTAAAGATTTTTCCCACAGTCCTAAGTGTTAACAAGTGCTGTAGATCAAAGATGGAACTACTTGACAATTTGGTATAATAAGATGTTTGACCTGTGATTCTTGCTAAAATAGAGGAAACACTAAGCCTAAATAAGTATCTGGTCATTTGACATTTTAGTCATATGTGTAATTACTATTAGTATTTTCCCAGAATGTTTCTGTTTTCTAGTTATTAAAAGAAGCAACAGAATCAAGGCACAGATATGAAGAAATGAAACGGGAGGAAGCACAATTAAAAGAGCAGGTAACTTTGCAACAGGGGATAGTAGAATTTATGAATCTTCTTGTTCCCAGTGAATGCCAGCTAGAAGTGAAAACTAGGTTTTTTGACCTCTTAGAATGTTCCTCTTATGGTAACTAACTCATCATGAGTTGACTAGGACTTCTCTCAAATCAGCACCGTGAGTCCTGTGTCCTCCAAAACCCCTTAGTCCCTAGCAAATCTGGAGGGCTAATGACCCTGTTTTCAGTGTCTCCTTTCTACTATTCTAGATATTTTCTCCTGTGTCTTTTAAAGTTTGTTCCATGAGGAAAGTAAAACAGGGAGAAAATACATATTTTGTGTATGTGTAGTTTTTAAAATCTTCATCTGCTTACAGATGTGTGTGTGTGTGTAGTGTTTGTTTCTTTGTTTATTTTTAATATAATTTATTGTCAAGTTGGCTAATATACAGTATAGACAGTGTGTTCTTGGTTTTGGAGGTAGATTCCTGTGATTCATCATTCATTGCTTAAATACACACCCCGTGCTCATCCCAGCAAGTACCCTCCTCAATGCCCATCACCCATTTTCCCCTCTCCCCTGCTCAATCAACCCTCAGTTTATTCTCTGTATTTCAGAGTTTCTTATGATGTGCCTCCCTCCCTCTCTGTTTGTAACTTTTTTTTTCCATACCTTTCCCCCATGGTCTTCTGTTAAGTTCCTCAAGTTCCACATATGAGTACAAACATACGATATCTGTCTTTCTCTGACTGATTTATTTCACTTAGCATAAAACGCTTCAGTTCCACCCATGTTGCTGCAAATGGCAGGATTTCATTCTTAGTACCACGTAGTATTCCATTGTGTATATAAACCACAATTTCTTTATCCATTCATCAGTTGATGGACATTTAGGCTGTTTCCATAATTTGGCTATTGTTGAAAGTGCTGCTATAAACATTGGGGTACAAGTGCCCCTATGCCTCAGCCCTCTGTATGGGGCAATTCCTAGCAGTGCTATTGCTGGGTCAGAGAACAGTTCTATCCTTAATTTTTTGAGGAACCTCCACACTGTTTTCCAGAGTGGCTGCAGCAGTTTGCATTCCCACCAACAGTGCAAGAGGGTTCCCGTTTCTCCACATCCTCGCCAGCATCTGTAGTCTCCTGATTTGTTCATTGTAGCTACTCTGACTGGCGTGAGGTGGTATCTCAGTGTGGTTTTGATTTGTATTTCCCTGATGAGTAGTGACCTTGAGCATCTTTTCATGTGCCTGTTAGCCATCTGGATATCTTTTTTGGAAAAGTGTCCAACAATAGTCCTGTCTTCTGCCCATTTCTTTACTGGATTATTTGTTTTTTGGGTGTTGAATTTCATAAGTTCTTTATAGATTTTGGATACTAACCCTTTGCATGTGTGTTTTTTCAGTGAGAATTGAGATTCTTTGTTTTTGAGTTGAGCCTTATGTTGTCCTATTTCAGTCTCCTATATGGTTGCTTTGTGTGGAGTAAAGGAAGCAGATACTGCATCTCACTTCAAGAAAAGACAGAGGAAATATTGTGCCTCCCTCTCTGAAAGTCTACTAATATCTACCTGTATTTTTATAGACAGGAGCAATTAGATATTTATCCATATAATTTATTCTTTTAGTTAACCAGGGTTACATTCTATTGAAAAACATGTCACTTGTTGAAAACTTTATTATGGGGGCGCCTGGGTGGCGCAGTCGGTTAAGCGTCTGACTTCAGCCAGGTCACGATCTCGCGGTCCGTGAGTTTGAGCCCCGCGTCAGGCTCTGGGCTGATGGCTCAAAGCCTGGAGCCTGTTTCCGATTCTGTGTCTCCCTCTCTCTCTGCCCCTCCCCCGTTCATGCTCTGTCTCTCTCTGTCCCAAAAATAAAAATAAACGTTGAAGAAAAAAAATTTAAAAAAAAAAAAAAAGAAAACTTTATTATGGAATGTTTAACATAATGATTCTCTTAATTAGTCCTAAAATTCACTAATATATTAAGACTGGCACAAGTCTTCATGAGCAACCAACCCTTCTGAGTCCTCTTTATGTCTTTGGGAACAGTTTTTAGTGGGTTATTAGTGATAAAACTAGCCTAACTTACAGTGAAAATTGGACAAAAGTCAAATATGAAAAGGCTTTTGAGCTTTCCAACGTAAGTTATGACCAAGTGGGCTTGCTTCTAGAAACTTTAAACCTGTTACTTATTAGCCCTGTAAGGACACTCAGAGGTGCATGTAACTGGAGAAAAGAATTGATGTGTAGGTGTGCAAAGTCTATGAACAGCTTTGGAAGATGTTCTTTAATTGTGGGGGGTCATTGACTATTTCTCGAGTGCAAGTTGCCAGAAGGCTGCCTTACCAAGCTCCCAGGCATCTCGGAATCTGTTGGACTGTTCTCATTGCAGCTTCTTTTGTCTGTGGTCTCTGAAACCCTGGGCCCTGTTGCCTGATCATTAGTTTCTTCCTTTGCTACCACATCTCCCGTTTCAAAGTCTGTAAATGTGGCTGTCCTTCGTCTCATTCTATGTTGTTACCATGTCAGTTTCCACCATTTATTGAGGATAGATTCTAATTGGTGTGTGTTGACATATTGTTCTGTAACCCAGGCATGTAAGGCCAGGTGTGATGGTAGTTGTCGCTTACTAACCACCTACTGTGGACCAGCATTGAGCACTCAGATGGGACAGTCTGCCTGGACCATGTCTAGACTGCCATTAACTTCTAATGCCTCTCAAGTGCCCAGACTGCTCCCTTTGTCTCCCTAAGCAGCACCATTGCTCCATCTCTAGGTCATTGGCCCTGCCAGTATGTACTCTTCCACACACTGCTCATAATGGAGGCCTCTTGAACTTGCTCCTGAGTTTGTATTCAGCCAGGCCCTTGCCTTCCTGTTTCTGTGGGCATGATTTGGTCATCCTATATTTACTTTGTCTACCCTTTAGCCTTAACGTGCTTTTCCCCATATGGCCCACGCCACAAGATTACTGGGTGGACTGGTTCCATCATACTCTTTCCTGTCCCTTTCCCATTCTTTTCATGTGGTTCTGTTTAATAGTCCTCATATAGCACTGGTGCAAATGGAAAGATAATTTGTGCTATTTCTTGGCATTTGATTGTCTTTCATTCTTTTTTGCTTTTCTTGGGCAAAACACTGTATTGCACAGAAATACAGAGCAAAGAGGCTTGCTCTTTCCTCATCCTGAGCATAGTGTAGGTATGTGTTGTATTACTGTTACATATAATATGTAGCATATAACCTATGGACAAGATCTATGTAATTTAAAAAATATATATGTGTATATATATATATATGTATTATATGTTTATAAATGTATAAATACATTTATATTTAGAGGTGGTCTCCAAAGGGCTTCCCCCACCCCGATGTGCATGAACCAATTCAGCCCAACCTCAAGCCTAACTCAGCATTCACCCATGTAAATGTTTCTGCTAGGAGAGCACTGCTAGGAGAGCTCCTCCTTCCCTTCCCCCAACTCCTTTCTGTGGGGAATAAAAATGTGACTCAGCATTCTGTGTTCTATTTGTGCTGCTCAGTTAGCATTATCTTCCTAGATAAAATGAAAAATAATAATTTTTAAAAAGTTCCTTGGTGGGAATTAAAAGAAAAATTGGTGTCTCTACATGAATTTAACTTTCCTTTTTCTCAACTATACTCCCACTAAATTCTTTGTCCTCCATCCAAACCATTTTCAACTTCTGTTTTCTTTTCCTGCCCATATTAAAGAAATATTCAGCCTTGATATCAAGCTAAGAACGATGTAAGCTAGTGATCTTTTTCCAAGAATAGTTTTTCAAATGTGAGGACAAGGGATGGTGCATAAAATTCTACATTTATATGAAATTTATAGTTATATGAAATGTTTAGTTTTTATTACAGTTCATGGAGTACAGATCCTTAACATTTGAGTGTTTTAAACATTTGCAGTTAGATTAAAACAACAAGATTTCCATAAGTTTCAGAGCATTTCAGTGGTTTAGCAAGAATTTAAGCCACATATTACGTGTGCCCAAAGGTTTGCTGATGCATTTCTTCTTCTTTGTAGCACATGTAATAAGTGACTAATGTTTAGCCACATTATGTTCCTTTGCAAGTCGTTGGGATTCTAAATGATCTGGAACTCAGAATGTTTGATACGTTATTTCTTTCTCTTGCTCTCTTTCTCTTTCTTTCTCCCTCTCTCTCTCTCTCCTTTCTTCCTTCCTTCCTTCCTTCCTTCCCTCCCTTCCTCCTTTTCTTCCTCCCTTCCTTTCTCTTTCCCTTCCTTCCTTTCTCCTTCCCTCCCTTCCTTCTTTGCTTCCTCTCTCTCCCTTCCTTCCTTCTTCCCTCCCTGCCTTCCTCCCTCCCTCCTTCCCTCCTTCTCTTTCTCTCTCCCTCTTTCCCTCCCTTTCTTCCTCCCTCCCTCCCTCTTTTTTTTTCTTTTGTTTTTTTCTGTTCTTTTCTCTTTTCTTTTTTCTTGTAGCTTTCTCTTTATATGGATAAGTTTGAAGAATTCCAGACTACCATGGCAAAAAGCAATGAACTCTTCACAACCTTCAGGCAGGAAATGGAAAAGGTATTTACATGAGTTTAGTAGAGTATTAGTATGAAGTTTATATGTCTTAATTTTAAGCATAATAATGACTTGGATGAGTTTATATTGAATGAATGTAATATTTTTGTTTCCTGATCTTCACCTGGCATATGCAGGCATTTTGCCCTGAACTTACCCCAAGTTGCTCAGGATATTGATACTCTCAAAATTCTATCATCATTGACGATAACTCTTTTATTAAAGATAACATGTTGTTAGAAATAGATTTTCTTTTAAGAGATCACCTCTCATGATCCCTGACCAGTTCTTTCACAAGCATTATGTAAATTATACGTAAAAAATGGAGGCCAAGGGAAGTGATGATATATTTTTGGTTGGCATAGATTAGTTCTGAGGATCTAGTTATGCTGAATGTATTTTTACACTTCTAAAATTCATCTTTATACATGCGATATATGGGGACACACATCCTTATATAATTTTAAAATAGTCAAAATTCAGTGTAGAAAAATGTTTGGCATTATTTCAGCTCACAGTATGGACTAAGTGTCAATTTTAGAGTACTGTTACCTGCTTCTAACCCAGATAACAAGGAACCACCTTAGTATGTGAGGCTGAGTTCAGTTATTGCATTGTGTAACCTCTGTTGGGCAAGCAATTAGGATGGAATTTCCCTTTTTAAAATTGGGATTTAAAAAGAAAGCATGGTCAGTAGACAATAAATAACAATGCTGGATTGTTATTAGAATTTACACAGTGGTTGAGAGCACATGCTCATTAGTCAGATTTCTTGGATTAATAATCCTGGGCAGTCATTTATGGTAGGCCTTGGACAAGTTTAACTTTTCTGTTCCTTCGTTGTTAAAAATGGGAATAACAAAAGTATCTTCTGTACTTCAGACACTGCTTAGCCATGTTAAATTAAGTACTCCAGGTACCACCATCAAGGAGTTTTACACCCAGTAGTGTGTACAATTCAGTGAGCAGCAGGTGTGTTGTGCCTACCAGTCTTTTCAGCTGAGTGCTCCAGTGGAAGGGAAGTTGTTCTGTCTTCACAGAGAAGGTGTTAGCTGTACTGTACCACTTGAGCACCACAAGGCAGAGCAGCTTAAGATGGGGACTCCCTGGAACACATTCCTCTCTGCTGGCGACTGTAGAGATCACAGTTGTCAGCAGTGAAGTCTGATCTTCCATGAGCTCCTCCTACAGCCTTGTCCCACTCTGTTCTGTGGGACTTTGGTGGGGAATTAACTGTGGCACAGGGTTGGCTCTGCCTTATCCTAGTTTCCCTTCACAGTGCATGACATAGTATATCTACTTGGGACTGTGCTTGATGTGCAGACCAACAATAAAGGAATTTTGGAAAGATGGGTGCTTGAGGGGCATAATAACTGAATCTAATTCTGAATTTCTGAAAATTGGGATCCTGTCGCATTTATTAAGAACACTTGTTTTTACACCCATTTTATCATTAATAAAAGCTGAAATAGGATAGTCTTGTGAGTTGTGAGGATGAGTAAAGCTAAGGATTTAATAATTTTAATACCTTTCCTGATCACTTACCTAAATTATCTGGCCTCTGACACTGATAGCATTTTAGATTCTTAGTCTCCTTAGAAGCTGAGAACATCTGTTTTTGCAAAAATCAGATGAATTAGTTTAATGTACTGTCTCTACAGATAACTCAAGAACATAGACTTTTTTTCCTATAGGATTTAGGAAGAAGGTGGTTCTCTCCCTCTAACTGAAATAAATGGCAATACAATCTAATGTGAAAGCATTCAGAGTGTGGTGAATTTCAAGTTTCCATGTGCTGTTTCCTCTGAAATTGAGGAGATCAAATTTGTTCTTCTCATAATACGAAAACTCCTTCCTACTTTGGTTCTTGTTGCTGCCACCACGATAAGGGCTTCTGTTAGCTCTGCTCACAATAGACAGGCATAACTGCTTTTAGCAAGACATACACAGCTATCAGCTGGTTGAGGATAGTGCACTGATGAGGGAAGGGAGGAACATTATACAATATTTGAGGGGTGGGTCAAGGAATGCAAATTAGAATTTAACTTTGCCATTGTGTTGATTCACAGATGACAAAGAAAATTAAAAAGCTGGAAAAAGAAATGATAATGTGGCGTACCAAATGGGAAAATAATAATAAAGTACTTCTGCAAATGGCTGAAGAGGTGAGAAGGTTTTACGTGAATATGTAGTGAATTTCATTGATTTCAGTACTAGGGCAGGCTGGAACTTCCGGTTTGCTGAGTAGCTACAGATTTACTTATGTGGTCTCTTTCCTGTGGTAAGTTAGGTTCTCTTAGGTGAGGTATCAAACTTCTTTCCCAATTAATTAGCTCAGAGTTGTGCTGTGGACACCTATACATTGGAGTATGTAGATTTTGCTGTCCACTATAGCAAACTTAGCTTATACAGACTAAGGCTTGTTAAACAGGATACTGTTCCCCATCATAGCTTTTGATTCATTACATCACAGGTGTGGCCTGAAGTTTTGCCTTTCTAAATGTGTCCAGGAAGTTCTCCTGTTGGTTCAGAAGGCACAACTTGAGAGTCACAGTTTTGCAGGGAAGACACCTTTATTCATATTTCCCATGGAGAGAGCACAAACTTTTAACTCAGTTGCTTTCTACCTTTACTTGCTCATCTCCGAAAGGCAGCAAACTACTTTTTGTAAGGTTTGCTGTAAAGAAAGCTGAAGTAAGTGTATTCCATTTGCAATTACTAAATTTCTCAGGTTCATAAACTTCGTGGGACTAGTTATAACATTTCATGAAAGAAAATATTAGGGTTTCAAAATGGTGGAAAGGAAGAAAAATTGAAGAAAGAAGACTGTACTCTTATTTCTAGCATTTTAAATTAAAATAATTAATTTTATTCATTCTTTATTAAGTCAACATAAAATTAACTGAAAATCAAGAAGTGCATTTTGGTTACTTTAAAGAAACATGACAAAAGAGTATTTAATTTTTTGCATTGTTCCAGAATAATTATATTTTCAGCAGATGGTAAAAGGTAGTTGACAGTGTGGCACAGATTTCTTTTTTTTCTTTTGTAGACAATAATGTACTCTGTATTTATATGTAGAATGGTTACATGAATTCTCTCCTCTCCACCCCCCCCCCCCCCCCCCAACTCCCCAGAAAGCTGTGCATGATAAAGAGTACACGGCCTTTCAAATAAAACTGGAACGGTTAGAGAAGCTGTGTAGAGCTCTTCAAATGGAAAGAAATGAGCTCAGTGAGAAGGTGGAAGCCCTCAAAGAGCAGGTCTCTGTAAATGCAGTGGATGTAGATTTAGCCACACCTGTGACACAGTCCTGCACTGGTGTTGTTTCTCAGAAGGAGCTGAAGACTTCTAGAAGAGTTCCAGGAGTGTACCTGGAGGCTAAGCTTCAGGGAGCAAATGAAACAAAACGCAACTCCAAAGACCCTTTCTACATGATTTCTTCCAGGCACTGATTCGGTTGAGTCAGATGAAGTGTGACCACTGTATTGAGTGGTATTTTGTGTATCAGTTTTCTGTAGTAGTTACTATTAGTTTTGTGATGAAAATGTTCTTTTTCTATTATATATGTATTTTTAAAGAACTATTGGACTGTGTGGCACAGGAGACTGCTTAGTAGTTTTGCATTGTTTTAATGTGTACAGTTTCCACAGCTGTATTACATATCTGCCTTACTAATCTTTTATTGGAATACGTTTCATCCTTTCACTGTGTTCATTTGCCTTATCCCTGCCCCTTGTGTTATTATCATAATTAAATTGAGCGTTGTTTCAATGGTGGTTTCCCTATGTGAAACCTAAAACTAATTTAAACTCTCTATTCCACTAATACAAAAGAGAGAAAATATAAAGATGATTAGTTTTGTCTAGTAGCTCATTCAAATGTCAAGTGGAAAATAAAGCAAGTGTGGGATAGGAAACAAGTGTAGCATATTTGACATAGGTTCGGTTTTTTGGTAATATTTTTTATCACTTGCAAACCAAGATGACTGTTAAGTTTTGTCTTGACTTTCTCAAGGTTGTAGCAGAATATGATTATGAGGTTGTCACTTGTAAACAAAATAGCATGTGCATGCAAGTCATTGGACAAACAGGTTTAATGCTTAAGTCACTAAAAATGGTTCTACTGCTTTGGTTTCAGCTTAGAACACATGTGTTTAAAGAAAAAAATTATCTAGATCTCTGCATTTACAATGGCAAAATTTCTGGGCTTTGTAATTTTGTTTGTTACTTTGTTATTTCAGTTTTTGAAAGTTACTTTTATTTATATGTTCCTGTCACATCTATGACCTTAAATTGGTTGAAAATTGAAGATTACCTGATAGGTAAAATATCCTGCAGCGTGAAGTATTTGCAAACTTTCACTACTGACCATGATAATCAAGGGACCAGAGAGTTAAGCAAAATAAATTTACATGAAATTTGACATCCTTAGTCTGCCAGAAGTAGCAAGTCCACACTTCACCGTTCAACAGTTTTTTAAAAGTGTCTCCATCAGCTACTAAATGAACTGTTGGACCCACTACTTTGTGGGGAGTGGGGGTATGAAGATTATGTGTCAGAACTACAATTCACCTTAAAATTAATTCTAGTGATCATATTTCACCAGAACAGTGCAGCATGTAAGTTCTTAACATCTTATTAAGGCAGTTTTGTGGCCCCACATTTCTTTGTGATACTTACTTTGTGGGGAAGGCAAATCTTGGGCTGAAAGCAATGTGGTTCAGAGCATTGGCTCTGCTGTTTTGGATCTAATAGGTATATATTAGATATCATTGTGTGAAATGACATAAGACATGGAAAGCCTCTGGAATCTGGGAAGCATTTGCTTTCCTTTCAGAACTTTTCCTGTGGTTAAAAAGGGAAAAAGAACCTTATGGAAAGGACTCCCTTCCAAATGGCTCTGTAGTGTGTACTACCTACTATATTCTAGAACAGGAGCCGTCAGACCATCTCTATCTTGACTAGGGCTGCTTTCATACTATAGCTATCATGTTGAGCAATTCTTACGTATTTACTGTCTGACCCTTTGTCAACCCTGTTAAAATACCCTGCAGCTGACCCAGGAAAAGCTTAAATGTTGCAATCAGTTAAAATATACTTGTTGCACCATTTTGTGGAACCTTCTGGAGTTGTAAAATCAGTAGCATCATTGGAATCCACGGTGTAGAAAAAAACATGGCTCCACACAGACCATTTCATCTTCATATGTGTACGAATACATTTTGTGGCCATAAGACCAATACGTTTAAGTTATGTATAAACTGTCTTATCATACCTGGTTGTCACAGCTCATTTCTCAGGTGTTACAGAAATATCTACCTCTTTCAAACTATAACTGAACATAGCCCAAAAAAGGACGCAGTGCTAAGTAAACTGCTTTATTTTTACAGCTAACATGTTTCATGAAGAAACAGAATTGATGAAGAAGTCATATTTTGCTTTTCACAGTCATTTTGTAGAAATTTTTCACTAATGTGAGTCTTATTTTGTCTATGCTGTAAAGTTGAATAAATATGTGATGATTAATTTAACAACCTCTGTATATCCTTTACACTGAATGTGACTTCCCTGGTCTGGTAACATTCAAGCTCGGAGATAATTGTAAATAGCTGACTTCTCAGGTTTTAAAACACAGCTAATTATTGTACAATTAAATGAGTATGGGATGGAGGAGATACCTTTTGATGTTGGTAACACAAATTTATTCCACCAGAGCACTGTAAGCACCACCCACCACCACCCCCATCCTACACAGTAAAGTAGGTGATTCTGGATGATGTCTAGAAGATGTAACTTCTGGCAGGACTTTAAAAAACTGCAAGAATTATGAATATCTCAGATCTTAGCAGATCTTATGAAGGCACACTTGTATATAGAACTTTTTTTGTGTGTCCTTTTAATGAATTAGTTGTTGATAAGAAAAAGCACAGTTTACTGAATCCTATATAAACAAGTGAGTGAGTGTTTTCTAGCTGAACAAGCTGGGAGAAAGCTAGTATTTGAGTACCTTAGTAAGGCACAAATTAAAAGATAAACGTCAAGAATAACTTTGTGGAAAATGCCAGGAGTCTGGCCCTATACTGAAACAACCAAATTTGAAAACTTTTTTTGTCAAAGAACATTATCTAGTAAGTGGAAAGGTAATCTATAAAACAGGAGAAAATATTTCTAAATCATGTATCTGACAAAGGTATACTATTGAGAAGATACAAAGAACTCTTACAACTCAACAATAAAAAGACAAATTCAGTAGAAGGACTTGGATTCATAACTTTCCCCCAAACCCCTATGTAACAGTTAGTTAAGCATATGCAGTGAAGCTCAACCTGAGTCATCTTTAGCAAAATGCAAGTCAAGATCAGGAGATACCACTTCAAACCCACTAGGGCCATAATAACACTAATAAACACTAAGCAAAATAAGGCGAGAATGTGGAGAACTTGGACTCCTGTAAATTGCTTAGGGTAATGTGAAATGGTGCAAATGCTGTGGAAAAGAAATTTGGGTGCTTCCCAAGAAATTAAACAGGAAGTGAGTGACATCTCAAGACTGCAACATAGGTCATTCTGTTTTGTTCCCCCTCGCAAGAAGAACAAGACATGGACAAGACACCACTGAGAGAATCCTAGAATATGCAGGCGAGGCTTAAGCACCACTCTGCAGCCAGAGACCGTGACAGACTATGCTAGAAGGGTCAGAGGAATGGCTACCTGATGACCTCATTGTTCCTCTCCTAGGCCAGTGAAGCACCACAAATTGAGGTCTTTGTGAGCATATGGTTCCTCCAGTGAGGAGAAAGAACCCAGGTTGGGCAACCAGCCCCATCCTTCTCCCCGCTGCCCGCACTGTGGGTCATTCTGTGGGAGCTGCCACTATGACGTCACACCATGGAGACTGCAGAGTGCAGCCACTGGAAATCTGACTGTGATAGATAATGGGGAGGAACCCCCAACAACCAGCACAGGGATCTTGACAGACTGAGTTCACACCTGCAATGTCCATGTAATATTCCCAACCAGTGGTTTCACTCATCTGCAGAATCAAGTTGGAGGTGCACTATGATCCAGGAACTCACCAGAGTAGAGGTCTGTGTGACTTGCATCCTTAAATGAGAAGGTTTGCTGGCCATAAAACCTGGCTGGCCCTGTGCAGGAAAGGTGCTGAAACACCACCCCACCTTCTGTGGAGAGTGGCTTGTAGCCCCATCTGAACTTCAGGGGTTCTCACAACTGGAAGCTGTGTGGCCCAGTGGCGCTTGAGCTGAGAAACTGACAGGTGGAACCAAAAATTTGCAGAACAAAGTCAGTGGCGTGCCTCAGGGAAACTGGGGTGTCAGCTGGAGCTAGGACAAAAAACAAAGAGCTCTCAAAGGAAACTTAATACAGCTCTAATAATGGACCCTAACAAAATGGAGATCAATGAACTCTCAATTCAGAATTCCATGTCAATTCCATTGAACTTTTTTTTTTTAATTTTTTTTTTCAACATTTATTTATTTTTGGGACAGAGAGAGACAGAGCATGAACGGGGGAGGGGCAGAGAGAGAGGGAGACACAGAATCGGAAACAGGCTCCAGGCTCTGAGCCATCAGCCCAGAGCCTGACGCGGGGCTCGAACTCCCGGACCGCGAGATCGTGACCTGGCTGAAGTCGGACGCTTATTAACCGACTGCGCCACCCAGGCGCCCCCCATTGAACTTTTGATAGGGATTATTTCCTTGACTCTAATGATGGCTTTTGTTCTTATGGACATTTTAAAAATATTAATTCTTCCAACCCATGAATACAGGGTACTTTTCCTAAAATTTTTTGTGTCTTCTATTTCTTTCATCAATGTCTCCTACTTTTCAATGTAGACATCTTAAATTTAACTCCTTAAATTTATTCCTAAATATTTTGTTGTTTATGATACTATTGTAAATGGTAATAACTTCTTTATTTCCTTCAGAAAAGTCCCTGTCAGTGTATAGAAATCTACAGATTTTCGAATGCTAATTTTGTATCCTGCAACTTTACTGAATTTGTTTATTAAACCTAACAATTTTTGTTTGAGTCATTAGGATTTTCTATATAAAAATCATGTCATCTTCAAATAGAATTTTACTTCTTCTCTTCCAATTCTGATACCTTTTATTTTTCTTGCCTGATTGCTCTAGCTAGGACTTCTGTTAATATTTTGAATAGGTATGGTAAGAGAGGGCACCCTTCTCTTGAACCTAATCTTAGAGGAAAAACTTTCAACTTTTTTCATTGACTATGATGTTAGCTGTGGACTTGTCGAATATGGCCTTTGTGATATGCAGGTTTGTGTACCTTCTGTGCTAATTTCTTAAAAATTTTTTATCTTGAATGGATGTTGAATTTTGTTAAATGCTTTCTCTGCATGTGGAAATAGCTGTATAATTCCTTCTTTTTATCCCATTAAAGTGATGTATTCCACTGATTGGTTTGTGTATGTTTAACCATTCTTGCATCTCAGGGAAAAAAAACACCTCATCACGATAAATGATCCTTTTAATATGCTGTTGGATTTGGTTTCCTAGTTTTTGTTTGGTTTGTTTTTGTTTTTAGGATTTTGGCATCTATGTTAAGGAGGGTCATGGGCCTGTGATTTTCTCTTCCATTTCTTTCTTTTTCCTCTTCTCCCACTGCCCCCTCCACATCCCATTTTGGTAGAATCCTCGTCTGCCTTAATATCAGGGTAATTCTAGTCTCAAAATGAGTTTGGAAGAGTTTCCCCCTCTTTAATTTTCTTGTAAAAATTTCAGCAGACTTTGTGTTAATTCTTAACTGTTTGGTAGAATTCCATTTTGATGCTGTCGGCTCATAGGCTTTTCTTTGTTGGGAGATTTTTGCCTACTGACTCAGATCTCCTTACTAATAATTGGTGTGTTCAGATTTCTTATTTCTTTATGATCCAGTCTTGGTAGGCTGTATGTTTTAAAGCAGTTCTCTCTTTCTTCTAGGTTTTCCAGGAGATTGGCTTATACTTGGTGATAGTTGACTCTCAGGATCCTTGAGTTTGAGTGGTATCTTGTAATACCTCTTTATTACTTGTTATTTCGTTTTTGTGTCCTTTTCCTCTTTTTCTTGGTTAACCTACCTAAAGGTTTTTCCATTTTCAAACTCTTACTTTGGTTAATTTCTTCTATTGATTCTCTACTCCCCATTTTCTTATTTCTGCTCTAACACTTATTCTTTTCCTTTATATGCTAACTTTTGGCTTTTCTAGATCCCAGAGGCCTAGAGTCTGGTTGCTATTGGGATCTTCCTTGCTTCTTAGGGTAAGTAAGCATTTATCATTACAAGCTTTCTTCTCAAAACTGCTTTTCCTACATCCCATAAATTCTGGTATGTTGTTTCAATTCTCATTTGTTTCAAGAAACTTTTTTCTTCCCCTTTAGCTTCTTCTTGATCCATTGGTTTTCTGGAAAGTTTTCTCTAATTTCCATGTGTGTATGAATTTTATAATTTTCTTCTTACTACTGATTCCTATTTTCACACCGTGGTGGTCAAAGCAGATGCTTGGCATGGTTTCAGTCTTCTTGAATTTCTCTATAGGTCAGTAAGTCCATTTGGTTGACAGTGTTATTCAAACTCCATGAATAGAGTTCATCCATCTGTTGGATGATCTATCCATATTGAGAATGGGATATTAAAATCCCCAACTACTACTGTATTGCTGTTTACTTCTCCCTTTATCTCTGTTAGGTTTGTTTTATATATTTCGGTGGGTACCATTGGGTGCATAAATATTTACAATTGTTTTAACTTCTTGATAGACTGACCCCTTTATTATTATATAATGAGCTTCTTTGTCTTTTTTTTTTACCATTGAGAGTGCAAAGTCTATTTTTTAAAATATAAATATACCTACCCCTACTTCTTTTCTTCTTACTGTTGTTACCATTTGCTGAAAATGTCTTTTTTTATTCCTTCACTTTCATTCTATGTGTATCGTTAAGGCTAAAGCGGTCCTCTTGTAGGCAGCATATGAATGAATCCTGCTTTAATTGATTACTTAATTACTCATACTAAGGCATCATATGTCTTTTTTATTTCTTTTTATTTATAATTTACATCCAAATTAGTTAGCATATAGTGCAACAATGATTTCAGGGGTAGATGCCTTAGTGCCCCTTACCCATTGAGTCCATCTCCCCTCCCACAAGCCCTCCAGCAACCCTCAGTTTGTTCTCCATAGTTATGAGTCTCTTATCTTTTGTCCCCCTCCCTATTTTTATACTATTTTTGTTTCCCTTCCCTTGTGTTTGTTTTGTCTCTGAAAGTCCTCATAGGAGTGAAATCATATGATTTTTGTCCTTCTCTGACTAATTTCACTTAGCATAATACCCTCCGGTTCCATCCATGTAGTTGCGAATGGCAAGATTTCATTCTTTTTGACTGCATGAAGCCAGACCACTTTCTTACCCCATACACAAAAATAAACTCAAAGTGGGTGAAAGGACAATATATATATACATTCAGAACATTTCATCCTAGAGCAGCAGAATATACGTTCTTCGCCAGTGCAC